AGAGTTTGGGGAAGAATGCATCACACAGCAAGCCCAAGAAACATGAAGTCCTGTGAACCAAGAGCGTGACAGTGGTGGTGTGCATTTTTGTGATCAATGCATCCTTTTGCAGAGCCCTCCAGATGCTCTCCTGTGCCAAGAAGTTGCCACAGAGTTTGTCTGCAGGTCAAGCTCATTCTACTGGAGGTATCATGGGCTTCACTCTACCCCTTCCCCTCCCGCCACCCCACACAGGCAGTGTTCTACTCCGTCCCATCTCCTATGGGAACTTCCCATCGCAGCCCTCCTGTGTGCCCTAGAGATCTCTTAGGAAGTCAAATGTGTTTTTCAGACTTGGCTTGGGATTGTGGGGTTTCTATTTGTCACTCAAGGGCACAGCTGTTCTGGGTGGGAAGGAGCTTGGGAGGTTTCCAGTGGAGACCTCTGCTGAAAGCAGGCGCTACCCTGAGGACCAAGCAGATGGCTCAGGCCTTCCTCCAAGTGGGCCCTAAACCGCTCCAGTGCCAGAGAAGTCCACTTTGTATCTCTGTGTCCTGCTGCAGAGCAGAAAGCCCACCAGCAGGTGAGAGCTACGCCAGTTTTGATCTCCAATTCTAATGGAAGGCAAATGAGCAGAACTCCAGCACACCTTGAGCTGGGGGAGCAGGCTTTGTGTTATTGACAAAGAATACAGGGGAGAATGGAAAGAGCTTTGGATTTGCCTGGCCTACCCTTCAGAGGAATGGGTGCTCTTCCGCCCTCCCTCTGCAGGGGCTGGTGGATATCAGAGGCTGCCTCTTTCAAGGACCATCTCTGTAAGGAAGGGCATTTCTCAGGAAGCCAAGAGATCTTACAATTTTCCTTCTGGAGCTGATCTAAAAAAGGAAAGGCACAGACATTAGCAGAGACATGTTTGGGAACAGCTTGGATATTCTTGGGGAGGGCTCACACAATGGGGCCTTGTTTTTTCTTCTCCATGGTAAGGGTATGGCCTGCGTCCATATGCGATGCCCTTCCATGAAACGATACTCCTCTGCCCTTCCTCTGTCATTTTACAACGTCCGTAAGAAAGAAGCTCTGTACACTTTTACCATTGCTGATGGCAGCAGCCAGGAAGGGAAATTCATTCCCTTCTTCTCAACAGGCCCTTCTGCTGCAAAGCCTGACGATGAGCCTCTCAAAATAGAAGAGAAGAGAAGAGAAGAGAAGAGAAGAGAAGAGAAGAGAAGAGAGAAGAGAAGAGAAGAGAAGAGAGAAGAGAAGAGAAGAGAAGAGAAGAGAAGAGAAGAGAAGAGAAGAGAAGAGAAGAGAAGAAGAGAGAAAAAACCCAAGACAAACAGAAGGAAAGCTCTTCATTTTGCATTGTTAGTGATGCCTCTGTTGGCCAGAGTTCAGCCACATTTGGAAGTTTCTCTTCTTCCCTTTACTGAAAGTTGTATGTCATTAAGTAGTGAGAAGGACCTTTTTGATTCAGAATAAGCTGGGAAACGGCTCTAGTAAGCTTGGGTGAGGGTGGTGAAACACTGAAAAATGTTGCCTAGAGAGGTGGTAGGTGCGCCATCCCTGGAAACTTTCAAGGTCAGGTTGGACGGGGCTCTGAGCAACCTGATCTTCTTGAAGATGTCCCTGCTTATTGCAGGGGAGTTGGACTAGATGATCTTTAAAGGCCCTTCCAACCCAAACTTTTCTGTGATTCTATTCTGTGATTCAACCAGTTCTGCACCTAGCACACTTTCAAAGTCATACTGGGAAAGTACAGACAAAGACAATAGAAAAATTCTTGGTGAAACAAAAATTAGACCCAGATGGCCAGTTGATAGAACAGATTTCTTCCCCAGGCAACCATTCTCTCTCACCTTTATTTTCCTCTCTGAGCCTTACTGGGAGCAGCCATGTGTTGAATGTGATTAGGTGCAAACACAGCTTCGGTGTTAAGGACACTGAAGGATAACCAGACATC